ATATACTAATTAAGAAGGAGAAAATACGAACTGAGGTTAATATTGAGAAGATCCTAGGAGCCGAACTAATGAAGACTGAAGGTGAAATCTGCTTTAATAACCCAGTAGAACAAACTGCATAGGACTGTCTCGAACAAGTTGGCCATTAAAATAATAAGTAAACAAATTCGCGACAATAACTACCGGGCAAGTATATTATTAAGCACGCTCAATAAAATAATTAAAAAACGAAAGAGAACCTAATTTAAAAAAAAATCAAAGATACGTAAAATAACGTTGTCTTTTTATGAACAGCAAAACTAAAAAGACGCCATGACATGAATATGACAACTGAAAACGCGTTGAAGTAGGAGAGTCCATATTTTGAACATACAAGGCTAAATTTTTTCTCCATTGTCAAGAACTTTTTACTAAACAATAAAATAATAAATAAACATTTTATTTATTTTACAGATATTCACGTTCGTACGTATCTGATTTTTTTCGCATACATTTGAAGTTAATTTATAACTAACATGTCTAATTAGTTTATATTTATCAATTTTTAAGCGGCCATTTATCTCAGTTAATGCTATGGTTTTAAAATAAATTATACTTGCAATAAGTCGTAGTTAGTGCTTTTAGTGATCAATTTCTATATAACAAAAGATTTGAAAATGTAGAAGATACTTATCGTTAAATAACATTGATTACAGTTGTAAAACTATAATATGTTAATATGCAAAATAGAATGTCAGAACATTGATTTAGTTCTAAAAACTATAAAATAACTTTTAAAGAAAAAAAGTGTACTAAAATTGTTCCATTAATTGAAAAATATTTATATTTGTTGTTATAGATCTCCGTCACAATGGTAATTATTTAAGAGTTTTATAATTCAATTAGATTAATAGTTTTTTTATTCGTTTCTATAGTACGAGTTACATTAAAAAGGTTGGCCGAAGCCCACCACCTTGGGTATTATTTACCATTCTGACCTTTATTTATGTAATAGCCATAGATACTGCTGTCCTGGTTACTCTTATATCTCTTAACGATAGTTGACATTCTCAAATATGCTCCGTATAATTTATGACTAGTTACTAAACATTTTTGCTGTCTCATCGTTATCACGATTTTTTCCACGCATTTATATATTAACTCAATTAACTAATTTATATATGATACTATTTTTTTATAATTAGTTGTCTCCTCATTACTCTTTCATACACCGAATTCTAGGCATTTGTCACGTTAATTAAATTAATTGTGCACAATTTTTTATGGTCAGTATGAATCACACTACAATATTGTATTTTTCCGTAATCGCTAATACTCTATCAATGAAATCTAGTGTAAATTAAATTTATCTATTATTGCTCAAAACTTATTAGATATTTGATTATTACTGTTTCCGTCAGGATCCTGTCCGACATAGGTTAGGTTAGGATACCAATCATGAAAAACTAAAGACACGCATAATAACGTTAACTCTTATGAATGGTAAAACTAAAAAGACACCATGATATTATGTATAAGACAACTGAAAACGCGTTTAAGTGGGAAAATGCGTAAGTGCTCGGTGTAGCCATAATTTTGGTAGTATAAGGAGCGGTAGTCAGTGGTGATAAAGTTAGGGTGTAAACAAAACATACGGTGCTAATAAGTATTTCACCAGACAGGAAGTAAACACATCGGCGACCTTCGTTTGACATCTCAGCGTGACTTATTTTAGCACAATGTCTTAAATCCTCTCCGATTCAGAATATTTCAATGTCGAGATCAATTTTACAATATAAGATATCTCCGCTGCAGTGGTTGATTTAAAAAAAAGCTGCATTATTCTCTAAGTGTATAGCTAAAAAATAGGCTTGTAATAACTCCCTATATCATACGTCATATTAGGGTTAATCCCGGGATAATTTATCCTTTATAATACTGTATTTTACATGATAGCCTACATGGGTCATAGTCAACAATTTTGCATAATTATTTCTAGTGTCTCTTCTAACCTCTTCTTATCGCGCTCTTAAGTTTATTGTTTCTCTAGCCAAGATTTTTTCTTCCCTACTAATTTTAGTTCCACCTTATCTTCCTTACGAGTTCGATTAACATTATAGCGAAGAACTACTATTTCCAAGGAGTACAATTTTTATTCACAATCATATAACACTTTAAATAATTAAGCATTTATAATTATATAATTACTTATATTTTAATTATTTGAAAAATTATCTTTTATAGCGATGTTTACTAAGTTGAATTTCAATAATATTGTTCTAATGTATTTTATAAGATTTATCCCAATTAATTATATTAGTTATTTTAACAATGAAAACAAAATACTCATATCTATATTATGTTTTTATTTTCTTTAGTACGTCTACAGAGTACGTAATTTTAATGTTTATAATTATATAGCATATTTTACAATATTATTAGTGATAACTTTCTTATAATATATTCAATCAATTTTTATTGTAATCATTACCATTAGATATATAGAAAAACTGTATAGTATACAAATTAAAGAAATCGAATATATTGCATTCAATGTTATTATTTTATGTTTGGAAGTCGCTAGGGGCGTAGCTAGGATTTTTTTTTCGGTAAGCCCACTATAAAACTTTTACTCCCCGACGGTAATGGGGACTTTTCCTAATTTTTTTTATAAGCCTACTATAATTTCAAAGTTTTCAATAATTATTCTTATCAATAATTTAATAATTAATTACTTAAAAATTAAAACAAATTGAACCAGAAAATAAGCATATATTTTCAAAAGATGCAATTTTTATTTAAGTACCTAAATACTAATATTTTTACAAAATACAATTATAAATATTAATTTATGTACTCGCAAAGTTGTAAATTATAATATACTTATTATTAATTTAATATATATTTTCAAAGTAAAAATTCTAATATTCTCTTCTTCATAACAGCAAAATCGTCAATGACAACCGATGGCTTATCTATAAATTGTCCACTTCTTTCCCTTTCTATGGAAAAAAATGTCAAATCATTTAGTCTAGAACTTTTCATAGTTGATATGAGGTATGTTTTCACTCTTCTCATTGTTGAAAAGCTTCTTTCAGCAGAAGCACTAGATGCAGGAATTACAACAATAAGTTAAATTACTTTTTTTAATTCTTCAAATCCAACTTTATAACTTTTTACTCATTCAACCGTATAAAAATACCAGAACTAGATGAAAATAATGTTTTCCCTAATTCACATTGATATTTTAGTTTAATGAGAAATTCATCAGACCGATAAAATGGAAAAGTTTTTGCAAAATTACATAGTGTTTCACAGTCTAAAAATTCTTCTGAAGCTTGGTCTAATACACCTAAAACTGCATACAATTCACCATTTTCATCAAATCGTCTGTTCATTCAACACATAATATGACATCTAAAATATTATAAAATATTGTTTTAAGTTCAGTTTTTTTTTCTTCATTTGAAAAAATACGTCTTTTACCAGAAGTAGAAGTTATGTAATAATCTGTCATTCTACTTGAGCCTTGAGATATCCTATTTGAAGAAACATCAATCCCTTTGGCTCTGCAGCCTCGCGTTTTTTAGAACTTTCTCTAAATGTATTAAGAACTTTTAAAACCTTTCTTTTATTTTTGAATTGTGTACATATCTTACACAAACCCTCATTTCTTCTATTTTCAATTCATCTCTAGCCTCATCAACAATTAAACTAAAAATGTTGCTACCAAGATTAACTTCTTTTAATATTTTATGAAATGTAAGATTCGATGCAGCTTTAATTAAATCATTTTGTTTATCAGGTGACGTATGTTTACTATTTTTTGGTAATGAAATAAAATTAGTTTCAAAACTTTCATTTTCTAATGAAAGTAATTTAATCATTTCTAAAAAATTACCTTCGTTTACGTCATGACCATGCCAATTTGGATTATCTGTATCTTTGGTAGAATTGATTTTCTTATGTTCTCGTATTCCGATGTCTTGTCGAGAACAATAAAAAATGCATCGTATTATACTTGTTAATGTTTCTCTATTTTTTATAATTTGATCCTTAACTTTTTGGTTAATTTGAGATGAAACTGAGCTGGTTTTTTTCGTTGACAGCCATGAGTTGTATTTTATTACAGCATTTTTATGCAAACTAGTATTTTCATGTTCTTTTTTTAGGTTACTAATATTTTTCCAATCGGAATACCCACGATTAATTAAAGCATATTTTTCAGTATGAAACTGAGAAACCGTTAGGTGAGGAGGAGAATGACGACAGTAATAACAAAAAACGGTATTTAGCGTAATTGAATATTCCAATCAAGGATATCAGTGACATCATTTGATTTAAGTTTATTAAGAATCAAAAACCGTTTAATTTTATTTTTTAAATGTACACTGTAACGACAACGACAATTCGGGATTGCGAATCGCACAATACTAATAATTATAAGTTGATACTAGGTAAATGCTTAAAATGTTTACGAATTTAATAGTGAATTTAAATTTCCAACTAAACTTTATCTCGAAAATTTTGTAAGCAACGAATTTATCGATACCTATTTTTCAATATTATTTTTACCTATTGTATATCGACTAGTGCGATAGTCCTAATGATATTTTATTGACGTCGCCGTCTTGATACAGATAAATTATTATAGTGTTATGATAATATTATGCTATTGTAAAAACGTGTATAAGTGTCTGAATATATAATTTTTAATATTATTGGTATTTTTCTAGAGATTAGCTGGGTAGGCCCGGGCCTACCAGGCCTACCTACTGGCTACGCCCCTGGAAGTCGCAATTAAATTGTGACCACTATTTTTATATTTATTTAAAGTTTTAAAGTATAGTTTTATACATAAATATTTACAAATTATACATATTTATATATTATTATATATCATTATACATGTTTCCAAATTAAACATTTTACTAAATGTCTAGGTAAATAGTCAAAGAACTTTTTTATAAAATAATACTATCCACCTATAGACATTTAGTAAAATACCTATATAGTCGTTTAAATAGTTAGGAATTTAACTAAATGCTTATTTCGAGTCAGGCGAATAATAATAATGACACATTTTGTATTATTTTTAAAATTTATGTATATTGTATTATTAATTATTTATTGCTATATTATATGGAATAGAACTATGTGTAATGTATTAATATGTTAATTACGTAGCTATTTGAAATATTTTTTATTTTCGTGTCCTTCAAAGCTATTGTTATAAAACTCCTGAATAAAATTGCTATATTATAATTACAAATTTTGTTATTTTTTTAATTGTTGTTACATATCTTTTGGTGGCATTTGCTGGAAATTTCAATATTATTTTTAAAATAAATACTACAATCGGTTTAACGACGCCGTTTTCGTGCTTGATATTGACATTAACAAAACCTTGATTAAATTCAATAAATTTGATAAAACTTCACATATGGACACAATGTTTCTTTGAGTACTTTGCTATCTTTTAAACTATTAATTGAAACTAATTGAAGTTCTTCTGTTGAACAACATTTTTTTATAATACCAACTTGATGCCAGCTTGATAAACGCCGTTCCGAATGTCTATCATAAAACCATTAATATTTTGACCATCAAGAAGTTTTTGCTTTACTTTTGGAATACTTAACACTATTTGAACTCCAACCTTTAGTTCTATACATAGTTTTTCACTTTTTACCGTAACATCATATTTTTTTCGTTAAACTCGATAAGATTATAATTTGTCTCACGGTACCTATTCCATATTATATACGACATACGTATTTGAGGTTTTTGTACAACGTATTTACGTTATTTTCTAAGGTAAAAACCAATGAAACTCTTATTGTTATTTAATAATAATATATAATACTATTGTACTATCATACCTAATTAATAGTTGCTCATATGTATGTATATACTGAATAATACATAGTTCTTATTTTATATAAAATGGTTATGAGTAACTAAAAATAAAACATAGTTAAATTTTTAAAAAAATACAAAAAGTGTCATTTTTATTATTTACCTGATTCGAAATAGGCATTTAACTAAATTTCAAGACGGATACCTAATAAAATTGAATAAAAATTAAATTATTTAACTATTTGCATAGGGATTTAGAAAAAGGTCTGATTTGACTATATGCCTATGACATAAATACAATATATAATTATAACCAAGCAACTTGTTTTAAATATTGTAATGTTTATGCTTTGTACTTTGTTTTAAAGCTACTATTTTTTACTTTATAAATATGTAGAAAAAATGTATTAATATTTTAAGTTTAAAATATGAATCTTTTAATCATTTATATACTTTTATATATTTTCCAGGTGAACTTTGTATGTCTATTTTAATTTTATTGAATGTATTATTCTATTCTGTTCGAGATTTCAATTTTATTTTTAACAAAAATTTCTTCGTCCATGTATCTAATTTTAGCTTGTATTTAAAATTAACATTAAATTTAAAAAAAAGAAATTGAGAACATATTACTCAATAAGTATAAGTTCTTATATTTTTAAAAAGTCCAAAATCTTTACACGTTTAACTTCAAACTTAAATCACTCTTATTTAAATGTTTTCATCATAATAAAAAATAAAAATAAAAATGAGAAGCATAAACCTGTCAAAATTAAAATACGCGAAATAAAAAGGGTGGAATTTTTAATAATACTCTCAATTATGCATATCATAATTATATAATCTCTATTATTAATACAAATAAATTAGAATTTATACAATAAAGTGGAGAAAATAAAAAAGGTCTTCACGTTCAACGTTTTGTAAATTTAATATTTTATAATATTATGATTGTTCTACGATATTATCTAAAAGTTTTTTTTGCAGGTAAAATTAGTGAGTATTATTCATGTTAATTGTAATATTTTACTATTTTTAATATTTTTTTTCTACTGATGTGTACTTGCACGTTGTTAGGATAGTTAATATTGATTTATAAGAATTAATACATAGAAAACATTTTTAAATTAATTAACGACAAGTTTATTTAATATGAAGAAAGTCAAATTTAAAGTATATTAATTATTAGTACTGCTAAAACTAATTTCATAGATTTTACGACAAAAAAATGATAAACTAAAATATTTGAATAATCTGTCCACTGTAATTAATGGGTTGCTATCAGTGGCATTTATTTTTCATATTAATTTAGTAAACATAATATTATATATTTTATATAACATTCTTTGATCTTTACAAATTAAGGAATTTAATTTTTCTTCAACTGCCAAACCAGTTAAATACTCATTAGTATTTTACTGTTTTTATTATTAATAACTTAAAATAAGAACTCAGAAAAGCTTAAAACGGAAAATGAAGACAATTTTTTTTTATTTGAATAGCTATTTACATAACGAATGAAACATTTCGTGAATTTTATTACTTTAACTATACATAAATCGTAATCACGGAGTTGTCAAGCCGCAATTGACAATTTGTTTTTTACGGAATTTCTAAAATATTTTGGAGCCATTGTGCGTCCGTGTATTTTGTGTTGCCTATCTTTATCAATGATTTCGTGAAATAAATATAATTTAAACTTAATAATATTCATTTTTTATTATTAATTTAATAATTTAAGCCCTAAAGCCCCTGAAATTAGATATGCCTTGAGGTTCTTGGCTTTAATACGCCAGTGATCATTATGATATAAATTAATTTTAATGGTAAAAAATATTTAACCATTGGAAACTTTTAATTAATTATACTGATCTTATGCATTACAACTTAAGTATAATGATCTTAATTGAAATCATTTTCTTGTTACACGTCGTTTCAATGATCAATATTGACTAGATTTGTTTACTGACAGTTAATCTACGACATTATAAACTCAAAATTCAATATTGGGAAAAAGAAAATGTTTTTTTAATACATTAAGCTGATAACATTTTCATTTAAGAATTGCATACTAAAATATGTGTCTAGACTTAAAGACTTCAACTTTTTACATTGGTTATGAAGCTAAAGCTTGTATTTCTATTGGAGATCGAATGATATTGTTAATTTTAAATATGACTAAAATAAATAGTTGTATACGAATTGCGTATCCACCGATATATAACTTGCGATATACAACATATGAATTTCGCCCCAAATCTCCTATACGAATATACAAAATGCTTCCAGAATATCTGTTATCAATATATATATATATATATTATTACCTAAATTAATAAAAAATATGATCATTAAAAATTTATAAATATTAGCTTTTAAATAATATTTTTAAATTCATAAAATAAGTGTATGCCTGTAGTTGATATGTGTTTCCATTGTATATCGTTTACCATTGTCCGCTAATCTGCGATTCTTAAAAGTTACAATATGAGTTTAACTATGAGTTAAACAAATGTATTGATATTTGATATACTAAAAACGTAAAAAAGTTACTTACATCAAAAGTTTGTAGAAGTGATAAAATAAAGAAAGTAAAAAGTGAAATATATAAAAACACTTCTACCCAGGTATTGAAGTGTGGTTGGCCGTCGTATGACGTTCAGAACTCGGGTAATACAGAAAAATGAAATAATACGAATTTCAATGTTTATAACAACTACCAATTTATTTAACTAACAACTGAAAAAATGAATAATGTAAACTTAGATTAAAACTATATGATACTCTGTTATAATATTTAAGAGATGCTCTGCAGAATAACGCAAGTGTTGCTCACTCCTTCGCCTATACACGACTGACTAACCACCAGTCGGGGCCCGTCTCCGCGGTCTGTCCGGAGCCTAGGGAATGTGCTGACCTAGCCCTTTTAGTCACGTAGACCATCGTGAAAACTGAAACGGTCACACACTCGTTTTCATGTCCTGATTCAACACATTTGGGCATTATATATGCGAACCCCCCCCCCCCGTATATACTATGTACCCCTATACATACGCACGCATATATATATATATATATATATATATATATATATATAAGTACATAGACACATATTCATTACACACGTCTGCATATACAACAGTATAGTCATAGACTATTTCTAGATTTTTTGCTAGATTTAAATATATATTTTATATTTATTATAATGTATACTTATTTAAAAATTAATTAAAAATATTGTTCATTATAGTTGCGCACTGTAAGTATTATTTATTTATTTTTTTGTATAGTATATGAAATATGATCCATGATTTTAGATTTATATTTAGCTTTTAAAATATATTTCACACACCCTATAACATTAAATATATAATCAAAAAGTAACCATTTAGTGATAACTATGATCAAAGTTAGTTGATAGTGAATCCTTTATCAAGGTATTTGAACTGTTTTGTGTTTGAATAGTCGAGAATAAATTATACTTGGAGGTTGCTAGATGTCCAATTGGCTGACACGTTAGCTGATGATCCTATATATAGAAATAAACGGTGGGGTTATATATGTTGTATACTATGTACGTTATTTTCGATGGTCTTGACAAAATGGTTGTTTGAAAGCAATTAGTTTGCTTAATGTAGATATTTTAAAACTTTTAGCATATATTTCACTAATGGGCCAAAATAAAAATAAAAAAGATAAAGCGGCAAGTCTTCAAAAGTATTTTTAACAATTTAATGAATTTTAATAATTGTCATCAAAATCAAATTTCTTATTAACTGTATTACTATTGTTACAAAAATTGGATATACACTTACTTAAAGGCCTTAAACAAAATAGAAGAAATACAGGATAAATTTAAAGAATTGTCCGAGGAAGCTAAACAAATAGCAACTTCGTGGGGAGTTGAACTAACATTCGCTAAAAAAGAAAAAACAAAACTACTAAATATTTTGATGAATTAAGTAGTGATGAATGTCTCCTTGATGCTGAACAATATTTTAAAACATAAATGTATTACCGTACTCTGGAAATAACTATTGAAAAACTACACTCCTAAGATTTCCTTAATATTTATATACACCTAGACAATTGGGGCTCGTTTAAAATATCGCTTCCGAGCCCAAATTTGGAAGTTACCTACTATTTAATACTATTTCGGCCGAAGACTATTTTGACGTACAAATCTTGAATTTTAAAAATTCAAACTAACTGTCTAACTGACGCCCAACATTGCATTAATTTGATTTAATTTTCTAGTAGAATCCAGTCATAAATTTTAAAACAAAGCATTTTTTTTTATTATAAAAAGTGTTTATAGATACATAAAATAATATGTAAAATAAAATGAGCACATATTATGAAATCAATACATTCACCGCTCTGATCAGAATTTAAATTTTATCAAAATATTCTCAAACATATTGTCTCCGTTCAGAATCGGTTTTTATATAAAATAAATTACTATTGATTTTATGATTCTGTCATACATCATATAAGTTATAGTGGCATTCTCAATGATAAGATGCTCTCAAAATGCGCGATTTACCAGATCGAATCAGTTTTGTGTATTTATGGTTCTGTGTTAACAAACGAAAAGAGTAACTCTAATTCTTCGTAATGATATACATGTAAAAATAACTAGTTTATTCCAGTTTATTATAAATAAATCCATTATTTAAGAATTAAAGTTCAAACAATACCAATAAACTGTTAAAATTTAAAATCAAACTTCAACTATTTTAAAATCATTGTAATTTATTATACTCCCAAATTATTATTAATTTTTTATTGCCATATTTGTATAACAGTTACGCTATTTTTATTTATTTATTATTAATATTATTATTATTTTTTTTTTTTTTTTTTGTAGTAGGAATAAGTACGTATTTATTATAGTTAGTTATTAAATTAGTAACCAATTTATGCCTAATTAATATTCAATACATCCAATGTTTTATTGTTAACTATTCTAAACTGCAGTTAAGATAAATAGATTCTATCTACATGATAAAATAAATTAGAGATAGATAACCAAAAAGTAATATTATCTGATAATTTTTGATTAAATAATTTAATAATAATTCTATATTTATAGTTTAATATAATTAATAGTTGCAATACTAATTTTTTTTCCCCTGGAAATACTCGGATGCATCTCATACAGACCGATAAGTCTTGATTATACAAAAAAAAAAAAAAAAAACGTTAAAAACCAAATAGTTCTACTTTAAAACTATTTAATTTCTAACTGATATTTTTTATTTTATTTAAAATATGATATTACAGTTTTGCGTTAAAGTAGCTCTACTATTTAATTATTAAATAATTTTAAATTCTGATAATTCACCTCAATATTTATCATTAATAATTTATAGCAACAATGAGGAGTAAGTAAATATTATAAGTAACTATTTTATTTTATTTTTTGTCAAATTTCAAAATGTTCATGAAATAAATATCTCTTCTAAAATTATGAAAATGATCTCTTTATCTTGAGTTACTGTTTCAATGTAGGTGGAAACTAAAGACCTTAATGCTTAAAACATTATGTAGGGATATCATTTGATACCCAACTACTTCGAGGAGTAAAAAATATAATTATCCACCTGAATCATCCCACCACAAATGTCAACTTACTAGATTTCCTCCAGAAATAAACTTCCTGATGGAACTGAAATATTTCTTTCGTAAACCTCTAATAATTATATTCATCACTTAATAAAAAATCTGCTTAAGCTATGCTTGGATCACTCTTTAGTAAATATTTCAATGACGAATTATTTGAGCTGGAATTTTGATACAAAGGTATCTTTTTTTCTAATGTCTGAAACGTTGGTTTGAAGAAAAAAATGTGCTTTGAGTGATTCTTTTTTTTACATCTTTCTGTATCTTTTGACTAAATCAATCTTAAATGTATTTTTAAATTTTTAAGTCATTTTAGTATTTTTTGAGATTTCTTAGGGCATTAAAATCTCATCTCTACTTATCGTGTAAATAACTTTTCCACTTTTACAAACAGGAAAATGAATTAGGTAAAGTTTAGATATTCTTTAAACAATAATACTAATTTTAATATAAATCTATAATCATCAGATGATAATTAAATTTATGACATCTTATTCTAAACACTGATCTAACCTTGGAAAATTATTAAATTTCATATACTTCTTTTCCATCAAAAAATCCCCTCGATATGATCTTATAACATCAGAAAAAATCCGACAATTACCAAGTAAAGAGATTGTTTTCTTAATACACGTATTACATAGTTAATTATTGTTGTAGTATTTTCTAATGCAATAGAATTTTTCAAAAATCATCTTAATACCAAAACCAAATAAATCACCTAATGATTTAACCTGATATAAACCCATAAGCTTGACGGAGCACTTTTTTTTTCAAAAATCTGCAAACATCTTATTTTAAAGCGTATTACCCTAATCACAAAAGAAGAGAACATAATATCTGTCAACCAATTTGGATTCCAGTAATGTCCCTCAATAATCCCACTAGGTACATCGCCTAGAAAAAAAACAATATTGCTCAACAGATATCGCTTAGGCGTTTTACCAAGCGTTAATCTCAAACTTCGCCATCGTACTACCTAATTTTTAAATCTTATTTGTATCACCGGAAATAAAGTGGAAACTAATATTTCTCAAATCTGAAAAATATAAACGTAGACAGACTCAAGGTGTTTTCTCTTTTAAACTCCTTTTTAACATATTCATGTAGGATTCTCAAATTGACCAGATTTCAAATAAAATTAAAACAAAATACTTTACCCTAGTAATTGATAAACGTCTTATATGTTATCCTCATTTACATGTAAAAAGGATAACAATTAAGGTTTACAGCTTCTTCACCATTTATTAAATTCATTGAAAAACATTAATACCAAAAGCAAACTAAAATGTTAAAAATTTTACATAAGCCGATTTATACTACAAAGTTCTGCAAAAATAACTAATACCAACAAAATTCAAGTAATTCAATTTTAGTGAATTTTAAACTATTCTTGCTGCAGCTCTATAAGTTTCCAACAATACACTTAATAAAAACTAAGGTATCCTTAAAATTAACAAAGCATCCAAACTTCATTATGCAAGTGCTGTAAGCGTCTTGTTGCGTGCCAATATCAGATCCAGACTCAGGGTGTTATTTAAATGAAATTTACAACTCTTAAGAACAATAATGTGTTTATTACGTATAAACGAAATACATGTAACTGATACAAAAAGTTGCTGAGTGTCGTGAAGTTGCTCAGGTCTTCGTAGCTCTGGTACATCTGCCCCTGTTGGTCTCTGGACTCCCTTATATACAAGGAAATCTCTTGTTGTTGTAATCGTCAACCTTCCAATTTAGATTAGTTCTTGGATTTGTTTTCACATTTGAAACAACAATCTCCAGGATGTTATCGTTCTTACTGGCAATTCTTGGAAATGCGAAACGACCTCGCCTAACAACTACTATTTTGATTTATTACAATGTTTTTACAAAATATGAATCGAATATTTAGATCACATATATATCTATATTATTATCGCTAGCATCTATAGCAATATTACACATTATATTATATATTAGCATATATCGTAGCTCATAAATATTATATTATATATATTTATATTATTAGTATATCTCGTAACCCATTACAGTCTTCACGAACACACCAATCATATCTTATTGTAAATCTAGTTTCTGATAAACTCCCTGAAAACTCATCCCGTCATCGAAAAAGAAATTGGTACCACTTAGTATGATTTTAATTAATATAATAATTTATATTTTTATAACCCGTCAGTTGGTATTTCGTCGATGGACATTATATCCACATATTATGTTATTTTCCGCCAATTCAATGTAACCTTTATAATATCATATATGTCTACAGATTAAATATTTTTATAAAAATAATACTTTTATAAATTAACTGTCTATTACTTTTTTATAGCTTGTTTAAGATGTACGTAATTATAATTTTAATAAATAACTTTATAGATAACGGTATTTTAGATTAATTTTATTTTTATTCATAATAATAGACCTTTTTATTAATATTGATATGATCGCTTATTATTTAGTAAGACAATTACAAATATTTTACAATAATTATTAATTACTTTTTTAAATTACTATGAAACAGTGAACAGAAGTATGTAATTAGTTTTATTTTGTAAGAGTAAATGGTATCAGAAGTTGTACGATATTTTGGTCTTAATTTTAACACGTTATTACATTGTGTGAAGTTGAAGTGAGAAATGTATAGATTTCCCAATGATAATATTTTTTAATTATTGACCATAAATTAGTAAATTATACATTTTATATCTATCACAATCATAATGATATTTAATATCGTTAAATAAAATACAAAATATAAAATATCTGTTAAACTGATGGACTTCCATGCATAATAATTATTAATTAAACTCGAGTTTGTAGTAATATACTAAACTTATGGTTGGACATTGTATAAAAATCTGTCAGTTTACATACATCACTAATATAAAAAACCTTATAAAATATTAGTATTTTTATTGCTTGGATGCTTCCATAAGAGTGTGAATCATCGTTTTTCTTTCCATCAATTTTGTCAAATAGCTTAGAGATGATGGAATGCCGGATCCATGTAATATAAATGGTTTAAAGTTATAAGTTATATTTAGTATAATAGTAATGTTAGTAGTGTTCATCGATTGCATATCGTTTAATAACTCGTATTTTTACATGTTAGAAGTTTTTTGTAAGTAACTAATAAGTTAACAAAGAAGAATTAATCTTATGTCCTTTTTAAAGTATTTAACTGATTAAAAATAATTTTCATTTTCATTGTAAACATAAACATTTTTAGAAAAGTGAAGGTCTTCTTTTTTAGAATCAAACTAAAACTGTTAGGCTTGATTTTTGAATTTTTTTTAAAAATGGCAACCCTATAAATTCTATAGTATAGAAAAGCGTTTCTTAAACTGTGTTCCACGGAGATCACTTCAGGGTTCCGTGGAACTTAAGAAATTTTTTCAAAATTTTCAAAAAAACTACTTTAAAATATCTAACTAAAGATTATTATTGACTAATAAGAAATAAAAAAGGATTGTACAACTTTCATCAATAAAGCCCATTATCAAGAATATTTGTATTTATAAAAAGCAATTTCACATGTTTCATTAAAATTAAAATGTAGCTTAAAGTAATTTAAAGACCCATTAAAATTATTTTTATTTTAACATTATTATTGAATTAAAAGCCTTCAACACATTGTTTTATTACATGAGTAATTATAATTTGTATCGCAAATAATTCTAAAAATTGCTAAAAAAAATAAAAAAAATAAAGAGTCCACGGATAAAAAATTTAAGAAACGCTGGATCAGCCATTTTGGGGTATCCTTACCACACAACTCTGCTTAATTTTTAGATTTATTATACGAATTTTTGCTCAATATAAATTAAACACACCACTTAAATCTCTATACCGTGCCTTAAAACGGTACAAAATATAGGTATTTTGAAATATACATTCAATTTACATTTTTATGAATATATACTTTTATTAAAATTAGATTGCCAACAACACGAGATCTTCAGTTCTCATTTCTTTTAAATTATTATCGTTAACTAATAGAACTGTCTCTGTCAATTATTCTTTAAGAATGTAATCTCATGCAAAACAGACTTTTCAAATGATTATGTTAAGTTAGGACACTTACTTTGCTTTATTCAGAATCTACAATTTAATTAACAATAGCGTCTCGTAAAGATAAACTCCTATCGGAAAATCTTTATAAAAACAAACATATAGATATGTTTTTTTGTATAAAGACAATATTAAATTATTGCTATTCTTATAATAATATTATGAGATATTTTTATAATGTATAACAATATTTACTGATTATTATGATAATTTTTTTATTTATAGATAATTTATGTAAGTGTATTTTGTATTTAATTTAATATATGAAACTTAATAATTCAATTTTTGTGTTCTGTGTTTAATAACTTTTATAATTATCAATATTATCATCATACTTTCAAATGAGTTACTTCAATAAGGAATTGAAACACGTGGTATGACTATTATTATCATTGACTTGTAAGACATATTCTTCAAAAACTGGTTGACTCTATCCAAGTAACAATTAAAGTCGTAGATGGTTTAATTAGTTATTAGGGATGCAAACATATTTCATGTTTGGACCTAATCGTTGAGTAATTTAGACACGATATGGTTGAGTTCATAAAAGTAGAAAAAAAATTAATTTACGGTTCTTCAGTGGAATTATGAACCGTTTATTCTTGGTTTATTTGACGGTGTATTAATCACAAAGAAATTAAAATTGCATATACAACTTTTAAAACCTACACTAGTTTGAAGATCAATTTTTATTTTATTAAATATTACTTCAAACTTATTTTTATTTGTATTATATCTCCATTAATTAACTAAACTTTAAAAAATATTATCGATTCATCCATGTAAATAAGTAGTGGTCATTTGATAGTCAAACAATAGATAGTGAACAATTGATAGTGTTATGAGATTTTTTTAAATCCGATTTCTTACAAATTTGTCAATAATTAAATAAAATTAATAATAATAGGTTCTCACAAATAAACTGTGTCAATGGTTTTAATAATAATTTAATAATATAATATGTAATACTTATAAAATAAATAATTACTTAACTCGTAAGGGGAGACGATTTCTGGTATATAATAAAGAAGAATAAAAACCTTACAACGAGTTCACAATAAGCGTTATTAAATATATAACAGAAAGATAATATAAATATATTATAATATTAGCTGGCCCAGCAAACCTTGTTCTGCCATATAAATTATTTCTAATTAATATTTTGGTAGTCAATTTTAAAACATTTAAGCTCTTGTAAGTATATGGGGTTATTGTTGACTGGAATATGACTGAAAGAGGAATGGAGCACTGCGAACGATGACGGCCTATAAAAATAAAAATACACCAAATATTCATTTTTTGAATTAATTTTACTTTTATTATCTTATCTAATAAATTTCAAATATCAAGCACAACTTATGAAAATTAAATAAAAAAGATTATTAGTCTATTAATGTAATGGTGTGTATGATATTTTTGGTAAGTCCATCTTTAGCTTAAACAAACTGGATGGTTTACCCACGCGAGAATATGCCACATATAATAAATTGTCCGTGTGAAAAACAAGGCGTGCCCAAATCTAAGTCACAAACAGATATAATTTGGCCTAGAGACTTATTTATTTTAATTGCTAATTTTAATAATTTATAGTGCTCATTCAATAAAGCATTCAGATCACCGACGATGCATCTGACAAAAGGTGAATTAAGGTTATTGTAGCTACAACATGCATCCACGCGTTTGACTAGTGCGCTTTCGAAGTCCTCTCCGCCCATAAAGTAAATTTGTAAAAAATTAAGTGGTTCGTTTGGCATTGATAGCAATGAACCCACTTTGTGATAAACTTGGCCTTTGATTTTGAATGTTGAATGAAATTGTTGACCAATTAGAGCATTATTTTTAACTATTTCTATTGTTCCGAACTATGTCATATTTTAGAAATAGGAATTGAATGTTCGAATTGACTTCAGGAACATGCTATAAACTGGATCCGTATCGATGAGTAAATCGTTAGGTAAGGTCAAGGGGTATGAAAAACAAAAATTGACAAATGACGGGAAATGTTGAATTTGTTTATTTAAAACGATTTGTTTCGAAAATTTTAAATATATGTTATTAATAATAAAAATTTGTGTCACAATTTAAAACTTAACTGTCAACTTATTTAATATACATGGAGTATTGGATGAATTATAGAATGTTTTGGTATTTTTAATTTAAATACTTTAAAGGTAGTTATTTGAAAAAGCTTAAAAATTATAATAATGGGTACAATCTAGCAAAATATTAAACTTAAGGGTACGGAACGAAAAAAAGGTTGGGGAATGCTATTCTACAGGAATATCCTGCAAAACGGTTAGACAATTGTTCGCCCATTTCTTGAGTCCTAGATCACTTGCACTTAGTAATTTAGTAATATGACGTTGAAAATTTAACGTGTTAGGAATCGTTTCTGCCCCTGTTATGATGTCATCGACATATGTTTCTGTAGTGAGAACACTTAGAGTTCCTTTAAACTTGTGTTCTTCATAATTTTCTAATTGCTGTAGTATACGCAAAGTTTGATAGGGTGACGAAGAGATTCAATAGGTAGCAGTGGTCTAGACATATCCACCAATGGTTTTGAGGGATCTTCTCGCCACAATATGTGTTGGTAAACACAGTGTGAAGGGTGAATGTTAATTTACGGTACATCTTACATATATCCGCCGTAAACATTTATTTCATTAAACGACAACGCATTAGAATATTCATGTCACGCTGTTATTTTATACCGACAAATAATGTATCACTTAATAACACGCCTGAAGAAGTGCGAGCTGAAGCGTAGAAGACTACTCACAGTTTAAATTATGTCCTTTGAATACTCGATTACAGCCTGATGGGGAATAGCGTATTTCTCTGGTATAGTGGCAATCTTTATGTATCCAAGTGATTGATATTCATTCATGAACAGTCGGTATTCAGCATATAATTCAGATTCGGATTATAGAAGGCATTCCAAATTGAAGAAACGTGATAAGGCCATACTCCGGGAATCACAAATAATTGATGAGTCCATTTTAAACAACAGAAAAACAGTATAACGACTTGTGTTATCTCGAATAATAGACCGTTGAAAAATGTCTTCACAAATTTCTTGTTCGGTAAATGGTATAGACTGAACTTCCGGTTCCTTGCAAGACCAGAAACGATGCAACAATACCTTTAACAACGGTTAGGTTAGGTTCTTACTTCTATTATTAAAATCACTACACATAGTTTTTAGTTTTTTTGCTTAATCATTGTACTTTTTTTTGATGATGGTTGATTTCCTGTAACTAAATGTTCAACTTTCAACAGATTATTATTATTATTAACAACTTGTTTAAGCTTTATTTCTGAAAAAGTATTATTATTATAATTATTGATATAGTTTATTCGTGAGAACCTATTATTATTAATTTAATTATTGATAAATCTGTGAAAAATTAGAATTAAAAAAACCTCATGACATTATCAATTGTCCACTATCTATTGATGGTATACCATTATCGATCATATTATACAATTTATTTTGATTTAAAATTGGTTTATTTATAAAATTTTATAATCAAATTTGTTTGTTTGTATTTGTTTTTATTCTATAATTGACTAAGCAGTAATATCATGTATACATTATATCACAATAAAATAATAATTATTTTTTTA